TATATATATATATATATATAATCATTTTTGATATATCAATCTGTAAATTTGCGCATAATACTGAAGCCTGTAACAATAGAAATGTTTGGAATAAGTTCTTCGACAACTGCCGTTTTATCTGTGTCCGATAATTCTCTCATATTTTTTATCGTATCTAGTCCTAGATGACTAAAAATACTATTATGAGAAATCTTTCTTAAGCCAGTATTCTTAAATTGAGATATGATTAAATATACGACAAAGATGACAAATACCCAAACAAGAATGAAATGAGTGGCATTCTTCTTTTTTTTTTATAAACAATTATACATATATCTCTACAGAGTCCTCTAGCTATACCAACGCGATAATATATTTACATCGACATGTCCACGTCCGGGAGTCGTAGTGTCCTATATGTCTGGCAATTCGTTGGGATCGTAGTATTTTGATTGTTTGGAGTGTCTAGGGTATGGTAACATAACGAGATCGAATGCCGGTTTGCAATTGTCAGATACAAGTTGTTTCTTAGATTTTAATGTAGCTAATATTTGTTTTGTATTATTGTCTATATTCTTTACAATTTCTGAAATAAACTGAAGATATGTTATATATTTTTTGATTGCCTTCAATAGTTTATTTGAACTTTCTTCAATATAGGTACAAGAGATATTATAAACATGATCTATATGGTCTTGTAGATGTTCGACAGATTCATAATCTGCAACATCATACTCTTCATACTTTATATCCTTTAAAGCATAAAGGTTACACTCTACAGGCTTTAGTCTCCAATCGGGCATATGGTGTATTTGGATATTATTGTCTTCAGTTTTATCAACATCATCATCTCTTTTACTTTTATTTTTATCAGTAATACAAAGATAATCATAATGAGCAGTAATTTTTTCGCTCGATTCTTTAAAAACATCATAATAGTTAATTATCTTAAGCTGTTTATTTATGAAATTCTTCATTTCTTTACTAAACACGACATAAGCATACTCGGTATCATCATAATGGCACTTAAGACACGCAATTTCAATATTATGTAGATTTTCCAGATAGTCCACGTCAATGGTGAAACTCTTCATAATATTAGTATATTCCTTATAACATGTACCTATCAATGACTGTAACTTATGTATATAAGTTAGAATACTATCCATAGTAAAGTTTTTATTCATTCTTAATTCGTATTTTTTTTTATATATAAAGACTGGAATCGATTTCTTATAATTATATTTATTTCATAGTCCCGATCCTTCTACAATTTATAAATATCCCGATAAATAGTTTCGAGATGAATATTTTCAGACTTTTCGTCTTTGAGGATTGTATCAAGGTGGAAGGTGTATTCGTATAGTTGAGTTGACGGCCGTGTGTATAAGCGCTGACGACCACTGTCAATATACTGTTCTGACGATTCCTTTCTATCTCGCCGAAAGCGATCTTGTTGGACGCGATAGAGTCTCTATAATTATGGTCTTAGGTGGTGTTGAGATGAAGAAGAGTCTGGTATGGTTTGGTAGAGTCTTCCAGTAATCTTCGTCAATGATGGTTTCATCAAACAATGTTACCTTTATAGAACTTGTATTTTTTATGCCCAGTTTTGCCGCACCTTTTTCTATGAAATCCTGGAAGCTCTCGGCTACGACTCCGTAACGAAGTTTGCGGTCTGCTGACCAAACTTTAATCGCCTTCCTTTCCATTATGTTTTGTTCTGTTCTTTTACATCAATCAGTTACATCTTATACACATATATCTATGTATATTGTTTATGTTAACTCTCACGAATAGAGAAAATTCCAAGATTATCTTTTTCCTTTAATTTTTTGTCGATTTCTGAGGAGTTTCTTTATAGTCAGTCTATCTGTTTGTCTGTAGTTAGATAGACAACAATGACATTTATCTGATTGTATTCTTGTCATGTACGACAAATGATTGACTGGTTGAATAAGCTGAAGAGGTGTATTATTAATTTCTGAAACACAGTCATTAACATGACGTTGGGCTGCATCTAGTACAAGGCTTGCTCATAATACCGTCCAGATCAAGAATTTTTTATTCTCTAAAAAGATGTTACCTTATCAGGGGGGTGAAGCGACACCGTTGATGAAAGCATCACGGAAGAATTCTTAACGATATTTTTCTACAGTCTATATCATCTTGAAGTTACGATCCTTTCTTATTTATTTTGAGTTCTTGTAAATATTTTTCTAGAGATTCGTTTAAGTTTTGTTTCCTATTAAGTAACAATGTTTCCTATTAAGTAACAAATACCACTATATATATATATATATATATATATATATATATATATATATATATATATATATATATATATATATATATATATATATATATATATATATATATATATATATACATGTGTGTGTAGTGTGTATATGTTAATAATACTCACTTACCAAAGTCGCTTTGCATACTTTTCTTGCATGTTTCTCTTGAAAATTTTCCTTTCATATCTATTTTCAATCTCTTGAGCTTGCAAAGTGTTATCTATACTATTCCTAATTAACCGAGGTACCGATAATACTGAAGTTAAGGTATTCCAGTATTTACCCATGGTTAAACAACAGAGACGTTCTAACGACGAAACGTTATTCCAAGACCTTTGTATGTTAATGTCGTCGTTGAACACTTTCTTAAATATTGTTTCACGTTCATTGTAAGAAGATATTATGGAATCCATAAAACGCTGCGTGTCATAAGTTAAGATAATGCTACTTTTTATTAACCTATTATCAAAATACATTATCTCTACATATAGCGGTCTTCTTCTATAATGCGTTCTTAAAAGAAAACAAATATTGGGTGCGGATATACTCCCATTAGCAGCATAATAATAAATGCGATCTACGGCTATTGACTCGGTCAAAAACCGACTCATCTCCTCTTCACTTTCCCAGTTTTCGCTCGTCGGAAAATGTTATTACTTTAATCTCGCGTCGTTTTAGTAATCCGAACCAGAAGTCTATATCGACATAGCTGTCGATAATTCCATGGGAATAAAGAAACAGATGCATTAATATTAAGAGAAATCTACTTTTATCTATTTATTAACATGTTTGAATCTTTTTCTTTCCACTCACTGTATCGGTTTTCCGTATTAAGGAGGTCGTTTGTTTCCTCAGCTTTTTGTTGTGTTTAATTCCGGTAATGACGAGAAGATATTTTTGCTTTAATTGTCTATTCATATTATATATATATATATATATATATATATATATATATATATATATATATATCGGGGTGGATATATTCTTTACCGTTTAATACTCGTGTTTCTTCTACAAGAGATACAAAGTCTCTTGTATTAATCAAGGTCTTGTGTTAATCTCTTCATAACGACAACCCATACTTGCCTGCATATAAATAATGTTAGAAAATTTATATGACATTTATATTAATACCGTAATGGTTATAGTGATGAAATAATGGAAACATTTTTATGTGTTATATGAAAGAGGGTTAATTTTGTAGACTAGCATTTTTTTTATCATATATATATATATATATATATATATATATATATATATATATATATATATATATATATATATATATATATATATATATGTATATTTATTTTTTCTTAATCTTTACAGGGATATTCCAGTCAGGATATATTTGAAGAATATGAATTTAAAAAATAAATATGAGACTCCAGTGAGGATACACTTGAAGAATGTATATGCTACTCTCACCCTTGCTACCATAGCAGCCTCTGTTGGTGGCTATGCCCACATGTTCAGCACATTTATTAGTTCTGGATTCATGACTTTTCTGAGTGCCATTTGGGTATTAATATTACTCGTATTTACACCTTATGATGGCAAAAACCAGCTGCAGAGACTTTCTCTCCTTGGTATCTTTGCCTTCTTGACTGGCTGTAACCTTGGCCCATTTTTGAATCTGGCTGTGACTATCAACCCTGCATTGGTAAGTGAATCTATTAAGGATACACATCGTCATTTTATTCATATAGTTATGTCATTAATATTTGAACGTTTAACTATATTTATATTGACTGACTTTTAATTTATTTTATATATATATATATATTTTTTTTTATAGGTTTTGCAAGCTCTGCTCGGCGCAAGTGTGATATTTGCTTGCTTCTCCCTATCAGCTCTCTATGCTCCTGATGGTCATTACCTCTATCTTAGAGGTACACTGATGTCGGTATTGTTAACCCTCATTTGGGTTTCGATATATAATATCTTCTTTGGCTCTCAACTCCTTTTTAAGGTAAGTCTAATAATGGAGATTGTCTTTTTTTATTATAAATCAATGAGTATTTATTATTCTGATAATTATTATTTCTATGCTTTTTATGTCTGTCTTATTTTTTTTTTAGGCAAATTTGTACATTGGTCTAGCAGTCATGTGTGGCTTTATAGTCTATGACACTCAGTTCATTGTTGAGAGAGCACGCCGAGGAGATATGGACTATGTGATGCACAGTTTGAATCTATTCGTTGACTTTGTTGGAGTATTTTGGCGCCTTCTCATGATCCTTACAAATAAGGTAATTTCTTATAGTATAGAAAATGGTAAACATGTACAATCGCCTTATTACAAATATATGATAAGAGAAGAATTTGCTATGAGTCCATATCCAGTAATTATAGACGTTCAACTAACGTTGTATTTTTTTTTTTTCAGGAGGCACAGAGCAAGAGGAAGAAAAAAAGCTGTAATAAATAAGGAAATATAACATATTACATTACATAATATTGTTTATCGGGTATTTGATATAATATTGCTTATCGAATACTTGTAAGGAATAAACCATAAGGTTATCATGATTTTTTTTAATAAAAAATTTTTGGCAAAATATTTTTTTTATTGACCAGACAAAAAGTATTGTTAATTTCTGATTATTTTCATTGAAAAGAAACTTATTTTTGTTAGACATATCCAATAAGTTATTTTGAGACACAGGTGAAGCATTTATTTGAAGATCTACTTTACTGTCATTTTTACTGTTAATCATTTCAAATACATCTCTCTTTGTAAGTATTTGACTGATCATGGTCGGGAAGGTAGATGTGTTGATCATTCAATCGGAGAAACAATTCCTCCAGGAGAGAGTCAAAGGAGAGCATCTCCATATTTTTACTCAAGAGGTATATTAAGAAAAGATCGCCAATCTGTAACTTTTTCGAGACGTTTTGGTCCAAGACTTTCTTGTAGTGCAGCATACTCGCAGGCTTTTGGAATAGCAATGTCGACCTGATGACGGGAACGTAAAACATCAACAGACGATAGATAAACGCCGTTATACTAATGACAGTCAATACAATAAACCAAAACCACATTATAACATAAATCTTTTCGTTAATGATATTTAGGGCGAGCACACACATGAGATCGTGGATCTCAACTGTACCCGAAGGCCCATATGTATGAAAGGAACACTTGGTGACTCGCGGAAATATCACAATCATCGGGTCTGTTCGTTCTTCTTGATTGGTCTCCGTGAAGCTCAGTACGTCCGTCCCATACGTGAGAAACATCCCACCTAAAAATCTATTCATAAACCACATATTGAACAAACAATTTATTATATTGAGCAACTCGCAGAAAAAAAACTTGATGGCATAAAAGTTGTGGTGATGAGAAGAATTGCATAGATAGTCGACCAGCAGTTGAATCTTATCGCGGCGTTCCTCTTTATTCATGATGGGGGTGGCTAGACCCATAATAATAGATTCCAGCTTGCCATTTTCCCATGTTTTCCAAAGCCAATGAGGTGCGTAGAACATCAAACCCTACAAGGAAAAAAAAAAAAGAGATATTTAAGTATGTCATATTTATATATTATATATATATATTCTCTCTCTCTCTCTGTATATGTGTATGTATTTATCCATTTATGTTATACATACCTGTAAGAAGAGTACAAACGGTACCCATTGATAGTAGGCATGGTGCGTTTTCGTGTCATCTGGTAAACTAGGGCCACGCCAGGGTATGCCAAACCTGTCCCTTAATTTCATAAAGGAAGAGAAAAGAAACTTGAATCTTTTTATAACTTGAATCTTTTAACATTATACAGTATATTATATATACAATGCAATATATTATAGTATGAATATTATCAATTATGTGAGTAATCTTACCTCTTCCGTAGTCTTTATCAATATGCCTTGGTAACGTAAATGTCGTATGGATCCAACAATATGTGTTTACGACCTTATCTTTTAGTTTCGAGTTGTTATCATGCATGCAACTATCGGGAGAAAGTAAAACAAACCATTTGATATATATATATATATATATATATATATATATATATATATATATATATATATATATATATATATATATATATATATATATATATATATATATATATATATATATATATATATATATATATATATGATAAATACTTACTTGATGGGATCTCCGACTAGACTATTGGCGCTAACTAAAAGACAAAAACTAAAGAGCATCATTGCCGTAAAGCGATAATGTAGTTTGAAAACGGCACTATAAATATCCGCTGCATTGTGATTAGTTTTTACGAGTCCTCGGAGACCTGTTAATAATCCTACTAACACCATTTTGTTTTACAACATGTAGGATAAACAAGAAAACATAAATATTGTATATATTTACAATATCACTGACTAGATAAGTGTCAATATTCTAGTTAATAAAATATATATATACATATATATATACATGTGTTATTAAATCAATCTATTTTAAAGTATATCATGTTTATTTTCTCCCCTTTATTTTTTATACAATTTCAATGGGTGTCTTTGTTTGAACATTAATATTTTATAGGGTACTTGTACAATTCGCAGTTTTGATTTGTGTTTTTTTTCTATTTCTAATCTGGTACGATAAGAAAGGTGATTTTCATTTTTCCTAAATTCAATACAATATTCAAGCGGTGGTCCTTTTTTTCTAATTTCTTTCACCATATCTATTTCTCCTAATATGTCTAACATCATTTGTTTTATACTAGTTGATAAATAATACAAGTAATAACATACTTTCGAATTTGGTAACTTGTCATTCTCTAAGTATAGGTGTCTATTGGTGATAGTTTTTTCAATTCTATTGAAATCTACTATAACTTCATTATTTTCAAGATCTATAAACTTTATTAAAACTTGGTGATATTCCATATTCTCATCATTTAATATAATTTGAAATTGCTCATATAAATAGAGGCATATGTTTTTTTCGGAATTTGATTTGTTGCATATTATATTGCTAATAGTCCGGTTTTTCATCTCTAATTCATGTACCGTTTGATTGTATTGTTTCAATAAACTTGGTGAGGAATCATATGGTAGTTGCAATTGACCTCTTCCTGCTGCTGCCGTTGCCGACATGGAGGATGATGGATCGAGTTCTCGGTCCCATGCTCTGATAAAAACCTTGGATCCGCCTGTTGTTTGGGCGGACGATGGTCCGTGTTGCTGTTGTTGTGATATGTTATCCGTTAGTTGGGTTTGTGATTTTCTTTTCACGTCTATTTTCCTCATAGAAGAAACATTGTTTCGTTTTGGCGATAGTACGTGTTGTCTGTTTCGTTTTTTTTTAATAAAAACTTTGGGAACTTGCAATTTGCTATATCGTTGTGATACATCATTTGTTGTTTGTGTTTGTCTTTCTAGAATTGGTGAGGAAGCATTACCCCTTATTTCAAAATTATAAGTTTCTTTCCTCATTCCAAAGGGATGGAAAAAGAAGCTATTCAATTGTAATCTCTTTAATTTTTTAACATATATATCTTATGATTTTTTCTTAACAGTATATAAAAAAATGTATGGTTATTATTTATTTACATTCAATTTCATTTACAATTATTATTTGTTTATACTTGTTATAAACTTTAGCTTGATACTTATAATTGATTATAAATATCTATAAAGTATTTTATACTTGTGGGTTTCATGTTGTGTTTGATCAGGGTCTAATTCTATTCTTATTCTATAAGAAAATAGACGATCTATATCTCTTTTAAAATTTACAACAATCCTCTGCGAAGGACCATATTCCCTAAGACTCATCATATTGTTCATAATATCTAAAATTTCGACCATCATTTTCTTTACAGTCCATGGTTGTCTATATATAAATGTATCTATATTTGGCTCTATTTCTGTACTTGATACATATTAGAAAGTAGAATATACATACACTGTTGATACCAATTTGTATTATCATAGGACACAACATCTCTAAATGAAATAAAGATACTGTGTTCATCTCTCGTGTCTCTTAGTATCTTATCCAAGTCTTCTTGAATTTTAGATAATACACTTTTTTCAAAAAATGTTCGTTCACATATATTCTTATTCAAATTGTTTTCAACTTCTGACACTTCTAACGCTAATGCGTCTGGGTAATATTGCTGTTGATGATTATCATAGTTATGATAATCTTCTTGTTGTTGCTGTTGTTGCAGCTGTAAAACAGCTTCTCCTTCAGTGGTGATTTGAGATCCATGTTGTTGTTGTTGTGGTGGTGGCAATGTTAGGTGACGGTCTATATTTTCCAAGATTGGGAGTTCACTATAGTGTTGTTGTTGAATAATCTCGTTATCGTTTTGAATTGTATTAAAATCCTGTCGTTTTGACGATAACTGATCTGTAATCTGTTGCTGTTGTTGCGGCTGCTGTTGCAATTGTAACATGGTATATTCGTGGTCTGTCCAAACTAAATCTTGAGATCTGGATCTCATATCATAGATTTGTTCTGGTTGTTGTTGATCCTGTTGTTGATATTCCTGTTCTTCTTTATGTTCTTGTTCTTCTTTATATTCTTGCTGATCCTGTAGTTCTTGTTGATCCTGTTGTTGATATTCTTGTTGCTCTTGTTGTTGTTCTTGCTGTAACGTATCTGTTTTTGGGGTATCATTATTAAATTCATCTTCATCATCATCGTCCTTTTCATTAATAAATTCATCTTCATCGTCATCGTCCTTTTTCAAGACTTGGAAATCGCCATGCTTTTTTTTCTTGATTGAGTATCGTAGATGGCTTATTTTCCTCTTGTTTCTCGTCATCTCCTCCAATCTTGGCTTTCTCTTCCTTTTTGTAGTTTGTAGTTTGAAATTTGTAGTGAGGCCTTTCTTAATCTCATGGTAAGGTGGTTCTTTGGGAAGAAGAGAAATATGCTCTTAGCTCCAGTATTCGTTTAAATTTATATTTTTAGATTTATTTAATTATATTTTCCTCCCACATAATAGGTGAAAGATGTAACGATATTGTTATTATTATTTATTTATACTCACCGTTTATAAGAATAAATCTTCTTTTTTTTTAATTGTATATCTCTTTCTTGGTACGATCATGTTAACATATTATACATGTCATCCTCATCATTTCATATGGATTGACAATATTAGCACTTTTGCTGCATATTTTTTCTTCAGTATTTTTGCACATTTCTTCATTTCTTTTTTGCGTTTCTTTCATAATATTATTCTCGTTACATATATCCTCATTTTTTTTTATTTCATCATTTAACTCTTTTAGCTTCGTGTTATTTAGTTTTATTCTAACATTTAGCATCGTTATTGTGTCATTTAACATCGTTATTGTGTCACTTATTATTGTTATTATATCACTTATTATTATTATTGTGTCATTTATAGTCTCATTCAGAGTTGACGAGGATGGCGTGATGGTCTTGGTGGTCTTGTCGGTTAATGTAAGCAAGTTTTCATTATCATCATTCCTATTTTTGTTATTGATATCACCATCGTGATGGTGCTGTGATTTATTAGTTGTGCTCATTTTTATTTTATCTATATATAGATATTGTTCTATCAACCAGAGAGTTGTTTTTAGACCATTGTTTCTCTGGTTAACCCCGACAAGGACAAATATATTTATAAGGACAATTAAGTATATTTTTTTACTTTGATGGGTTTTAATAACCTGTTTGATAGGTTCTAATAGCCTGTTCAGTTAAGCACATATACATTTTTGTATATTCTCTCCTTTGAGATTAGTAACGACGGATAAAGATAATGGGGTACTCGTCTATAGAAACACCCAACGATCTAAACTTCATGTCTAGCCTGCGTTTTCTTGAGATAGCAAAATCAAGAAAAGACGATGAATCTTTTTCTATTTGGACAAGAAGACTTGTACATCCAGAAGAAGAATCTTTTTCTATTTGGACAAGAGACTTGTACATCCAGAAGAAGAAGAATTGAAAATAAAAGGATATAATATTATTGCCCAGGCAAGAGGTTTCCTTACTAGAAATGAATCTAGCGACTATCAATCTACAAAAACGGAAAATCCGGAAATTAGATATTTTACAAGTGCTTGGGATTATGATACGTCTGACGACATTGTATTCAAGAAAAATGGAAGTGTGAGCAAGATCCGCGCTGTAAAATTTACACGAAGCGGCGGCATTTACAGATCTAGCGAAGCATACGATAAGAATTGCGAAATCATACAAATGAAGATGTATGATGGGTCACTGCACTGGATTTTAATGCCCAAAAAATCTTCAGGAAGAAAAGATCTAATAAATTTGGTAAATTCCATAAACTGGTTAAATTTGCACTGCACATTCAGTGAAGATAAATCGAGTATTGTTCATATTCCCAAGTTTGTTATTGAAAAATCCTATATACCAAATCAAAATTATAAAAACAGTTGGCCTTTTATCGAGATTAACGAAGGAAAATCTGAAATAACGGAAGATGATTCCAAAGAGCAAGATGTTATTATCATCGATAAACCTTTCGTGTTTGTCAACTGTGACTGTGATGGATCAATACAAGAAATGGGAATGTTCTTGAATGTTAATGGTAATATTGATAATAATGATATTAATAAGCCATTTTTATTATTTATAACTGCCATAGGCTTTGTTACAGGATATTGGATACAAAAATATTTATCTGAATATAAATTTTTGAACTACTGGTGCAAATTGTTATTCTTTAATAAAAGTTAATAACAACAAATTTGATCCATATCCTTTTGCTGGATTGTCGATGTAAATAAATTTTTGATACAAGTGAGCGAGCTTTTTTTTTATGTGAAGTATTGGTGCGAGTGAATGTCTTTATACTGATAAAGGTTAATAATAACAAATTTGATCGATATAGTTTTACTGGATTGTCAATGTTTACTGTCTTTCAATACAAGCGAGTTATGTGAGTTATACTGATACATGTTATTTATTGATAATAAAAACAACAAATTTAATCCATATTCTTTTATTGGTTATTAATACTAGCTTGTCACAAATGACCTCTGCATACACTGTGTGGCCGTGACAAGTTTATTATGCCTTTGTCTCAAACTTTCTAAAGCACAACATATTTCATGTATATAGTCTTGAATTTGTTTCTCCTTCATTTCCAAATCATGAATATGCTTCATCATCACCTCTTGTCGATTCTTCATCACTTCTAGTAATTTGCTATTGTGATTAGGACTGATACAAACATCATATTCCATGTCGTTAGACAATTCAAATTGAATTATTCGAGTGTCTGATTTGCCCTTGGAGTCTTCTTTGTTGGTCAGATGAGTGGGGTTGTTATTTTCTTCTTCTTCAGTAAGATCTATTATATTGAGATTAGGACATTTGACACTAGAGTACGACATCCTTATATAGATAGAACCTTAAAGGCGAATATGATAGTTGATAGCTTTGGTAGACGCTGTTGATGATGCTGATATTATAAAGCGTTTGCTCTGTATCTCATTCAACAGGATATGTACTCTCCTACAATGTTACGTTTTTTGCTTACACCCCCTCCTAAGAGAAGAATTTTTGTTGGTAGAGTCCGTAAGATGACCTTTCTCGTTCAACATATATATATATATATATATATATATATATATATATATATATATATATATATATATATATATATATATATATATATATATATATATATATATATATATATATATATATATATATATATATATATATATATATATATATATATGCTCTCTCTTCGTATACTATTATGTTTTTACACTTAATCATCTTGGTGAAAATTGGAGGCAGGAAGAGAGATATATCGAGATATTTTTGTGGCTCATTATCGATTATCAAAGTTAGACAAGAATAATATTCTTTAGTCAAGGGAAGGGAGGGGTGGGGGGTTATGGTAATATAAGTATAGAAATATACAAGTATGATGTCTAGAATAGTAAACATATCAATATAAGAATGTATAATAACCTAAAATCACTTAGTTATAAACCCAATATAATAAAATGGACTCTCCTCGGGATATACCAAAATATAAAAAAAAAAAAACAATGATGCTATTGACGTTGAAAATATAAGGATTGTAGAAAATGTATATATAAAAAATACTATAAAAGATACGATTGAATATGTCAATGAAACCGATTAAAGCTATCAGATAAATGATAATATGTGATTTTATTTATTATATAATTCAATCCAATACTGTATTCTTTAACTCTTTCTTGACTATATTTGGAAGAAATGATAACAATATTGTATTATTCCTTTATACTTTTTAACACATATACACATATAAACATACATACATATATTGTATTATGGAAAATTAACTCTGGGATAATACATCTTCTCGAGTTGTCTTTTCCTTTTTATTTTTTCCTGATAAAATTTTTCGAATCCAGTAAATCCAGTCGGTATATTTTCTATTTTATAAGTAACTCCGGAGGATGTTTTCTATTAAATACTTATCAGCAATATATTTCCATACGAAATTGAACCCACAACACTCAGTATACATTATAGGGATATCACGATTATTATAGTAATATTCATATACTTCATCATTGAAGCCTATAAGAAATGGTATAATATTACTAAATATTTTACGTGTTTTATGTTTATGATTGATTTCTTTTTTATCTTTTTGGTTTAACATGTATTTTATAAATAATTTTCTCTCGAGTCGGTTTTTGATACTAATGTGTTCTTTCAGTTTTCTGAGAACCGATACGGGCAATATGTCCGCCCGCGCGGAATCGTTCCAGAGCGCTTCTCTGTTAACGGAGACGACTCCAAAACAGAGCTGTTTCAGTGAGGACGGCTGCCGCCGTCTCCATGGCGACGCCATATTGGCATTGTCACCTCCTTCTATAGCATTGCACGCTAGCATGTTTTCAAAGATAAAGTCGCGATCTTCCACCTCCCACGTTTCGTCAACCCCCATACAACAATAGAGGGAAGAATGGTCGTAATTAGATACGATATGATCGAGGAAGCGCTGAACGCTGTAGGTTAGAGTGATGCTGCTCTGAAAGGGTCCTCCTCCTCCTCCTCCTTTTCTTCTTCTTCCTCCTCCTCCTTCTTCTTCACCATCACCATCACACCTCCTTCCCGTCATAGTCAGAGCTTCGCTTCCGTTGTCAAAATAAATGATCTCCGCATAGAGGGGTCTGGAACCGCGATGCGTTCGTAGGAGCATGCAGAAATCGAGCGAGTCTCTCCTGTCGAGAATGTAGTACACCAAATCCACCGATTTCGGGTCGATCGAAAAGTTGCGCAGTTCCTCGTCCGTCCAGAGCGAGCGTTCTTCGTCGGGAAAGGTCAGGGTGACAAACTCGCTTCGATGCTCGCGGATAAACTTGTCATTATATCTTCCATAACGTTTTAATATTTCGCGCGAATAATCATATTTTTCTTCAGGAAAATATAGATATCCATATGTTATTGTAACAAATCTCGTATTATGTATTCCCGAACAGTGATTCGATATAAATGTTAACATTGTTACTGTTAGTATCCTTTATAGGGCTTCAAGTGTTTGAATTGGTAAAAAGAGTTATTATTTTAAGGTTAAAATGTTTATCATACCCCCTCACTCAAAAAATTTCATCACTTGTATTTTCTTTCTAAAAAAAAAAAAAATCGAATCGACATTTTGGAAGAAATGTTTAGCATCATCAGAATAACTATCTAACATCGAATTATTCACTATTGATTATTTCCACAGATGGAAAAGAAACATTGGGGTAAATTCCCATCTCGAATTTCCTTTTTATCTGTAAGAGTTTTTGATGATAATTCTCGAGATGTTTTTTTTTCGAAGGTTTTAAGACTTGGAATATTTTTCAGCAATATATTTCCACACCATATTGTTGTTTTCAATAAAACTCCAACATAAATCATCATCATCTTCATTATCAAAGTTAAGCAAAATATTACAATCTGTATAATACTGGATACCGTAATATGGTATGATGTTAACAAAAATCTTGAATATCATTGATGTTGCTATATGTTCCGATGGACTATATATTGTTATCGATGCATTCTTTCGCATGTCCGTTAAAAACACTTGTCTCTCTTTTAGATTCAAGATATTCAGTTGCCTGTCAATCAATACGGGCAGGACTGCACGCTGGGAATCGCCCCAGAGCGCCTCTCTACGACCGGAGAGGATCCCGCGACACAGCAGTCCTAGCTGCGACGATTGGTGACACAGGCAGTTCAGCGCACTACAATTGTCGCTCCAGGATCTCCGTAATTTTGTGTTATCGTTGTTGATTGCGTGGTACACTAACATGTTTTCAAATATAAAATCGCGATCCTCCACCTTCCACTCCTCACCCCAGTCATAATAATACGCTTCTCTATGTTCGTTAGATGATAGCGTATTGATATAACTCTGAACGCTACAAGTCGGAGTATACACTTCTCTTTGTTCGTAACAAGCGACTACGGAATCGATAAAGTCCTGAACGCTATAAGTCAGGGCGATGCTGCTCTGATGCGCTGCTCTTTCGACGTTTGCATTGGCCGCGTTATCAAAGTAGAGAATCTCTGCGTAGAGCGGTTTGGACTTGTATTGCATCTGCAGAAGCAGGCAGAGATCGCAAGTGCCCCTCTTGCCGAGGGTGTAATACACGACGTCAACCGAGTCGGGCTCGACTCTAAAGTTGTGCAGCTCCTCGTCTGTCCATAACTCTTTCTCGTGCTCGGGAAAGGTTAGGACTGCAAACTCGTTCCGCCGTCCGGGGATGAATGCTTCGAAGATGTTAATGTCAGTAAAACAGTCTAATTTAATATTAATATTAAATGGAAAACTTTTTCCACGGAAATACAAATACGAGTATTGTATCACTTCAACTCCCGATTTAGAAATATCCTTCATCTTAAAAACATGCGAGCTTGAACGAGTTGATGCTTAAATAATTAAATTGTGTAACACTCACCCTTAATTCCAGTCTAAAAAAAATATTCGTTTTTTATAATTATTAAATACCTTTATTTGTTACACTATCAATCGGACCACAGATGGAAAAGAAACAATGGGGATTCTCGAGATTTATATTTATTGAAGATTATCAATAGTCGTCATCGTTGACCACCACGGACAGGAAAGAAACGTTAGGATAAATTGTTGTCTCGAATTTCTTTTTCATCTCCAAGTTTTTTTGATGAAGGTGCCTGATAATAGGATTTACCGAAGGTTTGTAGGACTTGGAATATTTTTCAGAAAGATATTGCCAGACATTTATTACAAAAGCAGCATCTCCAATAAATTCTTCCAGTTCATAATCATCATTTGAGAGATCATTACCCTCTCCATTTTCATAATATGGCACACCATAGAATGTATAATGTTAACAAAGGCTTTATATATCATTGGTGTTTCAATATATGTTTGTAGGATGTGCGAATAACAGAATAACCATGCATTCTTTTGCGAATGCATGTCTGCTATAAACGCTCTTCTCTCTTTTAGATTTACGATGCTTAGTTGCCTGCCGATCAATGCGGGCATGACCGCACGCTTGGAATCGCCCCAGAGCGCCTCTCTGTGAGAGGAGACGATCCCGCGGTACAGCTGTCCCAGCATCGGCGACTGGCGACACAGGCATTTCAGCGGCGGCGCACAACCGTTACCGCTCCAGGACCTTCGTAATTTGGCGTTAGCGTCGTTAGTATTATTATTATTATTATTGCCCCATACTATTGCGTGGTGCACTAGCATGTTTTCAAATATGAAATCGCGATCTTCCACCTCCCACTCCTCACTCCAACGATCAGAGTCAAGAATATACTCTTCTCTATATTCGTAACAAGACACCACGGAATCGATAAAGTCCTGAACACTATAGGTCAGGACGATGCTGCTCTGAAGCGCTGCTCTTTCGACGTTTGCATCGGCCGCGTTATCAAAGTAGAGAATTTCCGCGTAGAGCGGTCTGGACTTGTATTGCATCCGCAGAAGCAGGCAGAGATCGCAAGTGCCCCTCTTGCCGAGGGTGTAATACACGAGGTCAACCGAGTCGGGTTCGATCCTAAAGTCGAGCAGCTCCTCATCTGTCCATAATGTTTTCTCGTGATCGGGAAAGGTCAGGACCGCGAACTCGTCCCGCCGTTCGGGGATGAACGTCTTGAAGATGTCGATATCATCATCAGTAGTAGATATATCATTTTTAATGCCGATATTATTTCGACAGCAATCCTTTCCGGGAATATATATATACCCACAATCTAATACATCCACACCTGATTTGGGGATACACGCCATCTTGAAAGTAGTACGAGTTGGATGAAATGGCGTTTAAACAATTATATTGTGTCGTATATACCCAAAATTTCTATCTAATATATGAAATAATCATTTAGTGTTTTTATGATAATAAAGAGGTTTTTCGTAACACTCGTGTAGATATCCAGTCACTTCATTCCTGTGCTTCCAAAACCTCTACACCCTCTACCCTTCACATCTAACTCTTCAACCTTTTCTAAACAAGCAACGCCAAGTGAACTAACCACAAACACAGAAATGATTCTCTCTCCCTTCTTGAGAATATTCTTCCACGCATAGTCATTTTTAAACACGAGCACTATCTCTTCGGTATCACTGTTAATCTCCCAAGACATTACATCGATACCTTTCTTAATAGACATAATATCTGCAATCAGATTCTGCTCTTTAAATGTGTTTAACTCTACAAAAACTCCAGTGCATATCTTGGTAATATTGTGTGTTAATTGTAAGTCTTGTTGCATGAAAAATGTGAAGAGAAAATTATTCTCTCTTAAAACTGAAAATATTCCCATGTCTTTCTGCTTCTTATAAAAGAGATTTGATTCATTAATGACAGTGATCATATTTCCATCGATAGGTTTAACGTTCTCGGGATGTTTGATTTCGATAATTTCCCGTATCGGACACGCAATATTGTACACGACGCCCATTGCTACGGGTTGTTTAGCTCTCACCCTTAGAGTATTGCCACTGCTCCGATTATTAATTAGTACCTTCACCTCCCTCTATAGTCTGCGTCTATGACACCCGCCTGCACATTGATATCAGAATAACACGGAGAGAGCGGCGGTGACTGGAGCTGCATGTAGCACGACATGGAAGGAAGGCTGACGGCGATACCGGTACCTACCAACTTTGACGAATCAGGAGGTATCGAGCAATCTTCCGCGGCTAGAAAGACAGGCATCTTACCCATTCCATTGTAATCCTTGAGCAATAAGATAGAATTTTTGTCGCTACCGATGAGCTTGTATTTGACCGATCCTCCTACCGTCTTCTCTTTGGTAGTCAGGTGCACTATGGCTTGTGCGAACCTCGTTCCCGCTTCCATCTCATACTCCTTACTCCCAGTATTGACAACAGTGACTATAATCTCGTTATTAAGCTCCTCAAAGTGATGAGAAACGACATTGATATTGTGGTTTAACGCCATTCCAGACCTCGAGCGAATCTTAAGAAAAAACGATGCATCATCCAAAATTTTACAAGATTTCTTGCAGGATGATTGGAAAGGAACACAATACTTTCCTTCCTCCTTCTCTCCTTTGCGTCGTTCTTCACTTTCCTTCAATTTGTGAATTTTGCTGTTGCTGGCGACCCTTGAGACAAATTTTAAAGCCACGCCGGTTCTTATCTCTGCCCAGTGATTAGAGGGTATCGTACACGGGAATAGACTATATAGGTCTGAACCAGCAGAGAACTCCAGGCCAATTTTGGGAATTCATTGTGCCTTGTAAAAACCCATATAGTAATCGTTATTTTTTGCTTTATTGTGATTAGACATTTGTGTTGTCAGTTCTTATCAAAAAGACCAAGTGAAAGTTGCTAGAAAATAATAACCTCTCTCTCTCTCTCATTGTATTTTAAACATG